AGATAATCCAGCCGATAAAATTACATGCGGTGTTAAAGTGAGTGATCTTATAGTAGATCAAGTGTGGTGGCGTGGACCTCCATGGCTTCATCAAGATGAAATAAATTGGCCTAAAGTGAACAAGCATTGTAGCATAGTAGATAGTGTTGAAGAAAGAGTTGTGGCTCAAGTTACTAGCAGTGTTCAACCTTTACAATCTGTGTTAAAAATAGAAAACTTTAGTGACTTAGGTAAACTTTTAAGAGTCATGTCATATGTATTTAGATTCATTAATAATTTAAAGTCACAGAATAGAGTGATTGGTCCTGTGACCAAAAATGAAATATGTAATGCTATGTGTTATTGGATTATCTTATCACAAGGTGAGTATTTTTTTGAAGAGTTGAATGATGTTAAATGTAAAAAAACCATTGTCTCATAATTCCAAATTGTTTGGGTTAAATCCAGTAATGGATGAAAAGGGTTGTTTAAGAGTTGGAAGTAGATTAGTGAAATCATCATTAGATGTCGATGAAATTCAGCCTATAATATTATCAAATAATTATTTTTCTCGTTTAATTATTTTGAATTGTCATGAAAAGGTACTTCATAGTGGTGTAAATGAAACTTTAGTGCAAGTAAGAGGGAAATTTTGGATTTTAAAAGCCAGATGTTTTGTAAATTCTGTGTTACATGATTGTAGATTTTGTAAAAAATATAATGCTAAAGCTGGACACGAGATATCGGCTCCTCTTCCTGCTGATCGAGTGGAGAAAGTTCAACCATTTGAGGTAAGTGGAATAGATTTCGCTGGCCCTTTGTATTTAAAGGATGGTACAAAAGTGTATATTTCATTGTTTACCTGTGCAGTGACTCGAGGAGTCCATTTAGAATTGTTATCAAATTTAAGTGCAGAGTGTTTCATTCAAGCCTTACGTAGATTTTTTGCACATAGGGGTATTTGTAGAGTTATATATTCTGATAATGCTAAAACCTTTAAGACTGCTGATCGTGAATTAAAATATTTGTATAAATTATGTAAAGATATAAAGGTTCTAAATTTCCTTGGTAAAAATGGGTTTGAATGGAAATTTATTGTAGAAGGTGCTCCTTGGTGGGGCGGATTCTGGGAACGTTTGGTAAGATCTGTAAAAACTTGTTTAAAACGTATCTTAGGTAAAGCTTCTTCATATTATGAAGAACTGTATACTGTCTTAGTTGAAGTTGAAGCTGTTATTAATTCTAGACCTATAACGTATGTATACAATGAACCTGATCCTCTTTCACCATCTCATTTTATAACTGGATCTAGATTAACTGTTTTACCTTCACCTGAATCTAAACTAGAATCTACAAGATCTCAGTTGATTAAAAGATGGAAGCATAGGCAATTAACATTAGAGCATTTTTGGAAAAGGTTTTATAAAGAATATTTGTTAGAATTAAGATCAGTCATGTTTTCAAAACCTCCAAAGAATTCTCCCGTGTTTAAAATTAATGATGTTGTACTTGTACGAGAAAATAATGTGAAACGCTGTAACTGGAAGATAGGTAGGATTAAGGAATTATTTCATGGAAGAGATGATAGAATTAGATCTTGTGAGATTCAGTTGGATAAGGGTGTTGTTAGAAGACCAATTGAAAGACTTTATAATCTTGAAGTTCAATAAAATTGATGCATCCGTAACGGATGCATGGGGGGGAGTGTTAAGTTTAGGATTGTGTATCCATAGATCGCCAATAGATGGCGGTAGTGTTTGTAAAAAGAAACTGTGATGTCAATTATGTATATGTATCAGTTCGTCTTTGGTGTTCGTGAATAAATGTTGTGTGGAAGAACGCTCCTCTGTTTATTACTTTAACTGCGATCGAATTATGTATATGTATCAGTTCGTCTTTGGTGTTCGTGAATAAATGTTGTGTGGAAGAACGTTCCTCTGTTTATTACTTTAACTGCGATCCAGTCTGATTTATTAGAGATTTACACACTTAAGACTGAATCTAGAAAAGTTTCACTATTCAGGGGTCTTAACCACTCGGGCAATGGTCTTGTGTGTTAAGAATTTATGTTACTGATTGTAACAAATTATCAGTTTCTTTCTGCACACTTCATGGCACTTGTTAAAGAAATCTCCATGAACCTTACATCGCACTAATAAGTAATGGTTTAGGAAAATATATTTTACTAGAAGAGGAAACACTCAGTAAATAAACCATGGTTTGTCTCAGATTTTTTATGTTAAAATATTGTTTTATGTATGATTGTTTGTTCTCGATATATTATATTAACAAATTAAAGTAAATATTTTTTGTTCAAATATACCTAGCTATGCGATTATAAAAGCTTAATTCATATTTTTTAATCAATTCTGTATCATTATTTAATGGTAACTATATCAACCTATACAGTCCTAGTTTTAACTTAGATTAATCGAGTGGATTCTCTGAAATAGTATTTTTTCATCGATACTTGATGCATAATCATAAAATATAAACAAAGAAATAAAAGTAAAAATCTGAAAGGTTTCAGACTTTAAATTACGTCCAAAGGGGCGTTTATTTAAAATTTTGTCTGTTACCTTTATTTATTAAATATCACGTTCTACGCACTTAAACCATAAAGTTCATTTCAAGAGCAATATTGCAAAATAGTTTTAAAATGAGCATATCTTCAGAATTTCAGATACAGAGTCTCACGCGCTGGAGATAACAATGTTTTTTCTCTGCAAGATTGCTATTGCTCGCTTTGATATCCTTGAGTTTGTTAATCAAAAATTCGTTAAAGTTTTACAAAATATGAAATCGATAATAAAACAAATTCAAAATTTCAAATTCAGGCTTTCACATGCCCATATTCACAGTAGGATTACGTCATTCAAAATTCAATGGCTCTATGAACCGTTGTTTTATCACAATGCGAGAAATATACATACATTACGAGAAATATACAAATGTACAGATTTTTCATTACTTAATTTCTTCGAATATAATGCAGGACTTCGAATATAATGCAGAAAGGTAATAAGCTCAAATTTGGAATATTTGGATACTAAAAGGTTGTATTTTTGTATAAATCTTAAATACAAATTATTTTTAAAATTTAACTGGTAGTTTTATTTTTACTGTCATTTAAGAAGTGTACTCTCAATTTTGTGACTTTCAGAAGTTGAAGATTTTCGTTTAAGTAATATAATATTTTTTAACGGAGTTTTATAACTTATTTTTTGTGTAGTTAAGAAGACAAATGTATATTTTTTAATGGGACAAAACTAGGAAAACTTGCATAATAATTTATATTCTTAATAGCCTACAAATTAAGTTAGCATTAAGTGTACCCTCAATTTTGGGACTCACTGTAGCTGCCCATTTTCTCAACCTTCCTTTGTAAATTCTTATAAAGCAAGCATATTTTTTTTGAATCAGTTAGTATGGGAAGGCATTACCATTTGCCCGATGTTCCTCGCTGGTGTCCCCCATGCTTTTACCTGTACCTGTGTCTTTAGATGCTGTCCACCGAAATCACCGCGGCAAAATCATCACGAACGAAGTCGTCGTGGAGGAAAAAAGAAAGCAAACATAAAACATCGTAGTCTAAAATATTTCCTCGAAAATAAAACGGTTCAAAAACTTCGCAGTTTAAAATTATCGTCATCGAAAATATCGTGGTAAAAATTACAGCATTTACAAATCATCGCATGATGATAATATCTCAGACATATGTTTTTCAGGCTTTAAAAGCTGGAAGTACATATTCGCAAGATGATTTGTGAGCACTAGAAGGAAAGAGGAATATTTTTACTTTTACATTGCTTACTTTTGAAATAACTAACAAATTTTTGCTGAAAAAAATTTCTTTTTTATTAAGTTCTATTTACTTTTCATAAAAAATATAATTTAAAAAAGAATACAAAGAGGAAGGTAACTGCATGAGGTAAAAGTATGTCAGCAATGTTATCATCGTGCGATGATTTGCAGGTGCTTTATTTTTTACCATGATATTTTCGACAAGATCTTTTAAACTGCGAAGTTTTTGAACAGCTTTATTTTCGACGAGCATATTTTGTACTACGATGATTTAGAGCTACGATGTTTTTCATCTTTTGTAGTTTTTCTCTCACGATGTTTTGTACCACGATATTTTCTCCTTGCGTTGCTTTCTCCGCCACGTTTTCGTCCGCGATATTTTCGGCTGTAACCATTCAGATACTGCGAACATCGTATAAAGTGGAAAGACCAAGATCTGTGACTATCCAGGTTAAACACTTTTTTGTTAAATATAAATTTTAGTAACTGATTTATCTATTCCATATGACAGTGGACTCACTGCATGCAATCAGCTATATCTGCTTTAGTAAGTATAGATTTACATTAAATTAAATGTATTTGATAAATTATTTTACATCGAAACTTCTGGAAGGCTTTTTTCAACTGTTAAATTAAGTTTCATCTGCATATATTGATATAATAATATTTCTTTGTTACACACTTTATCGTTTCCAGGAAATAAGGACTTCTTTATGTACACAATTGTTAAGACAACACTCAAATTAATTTTTTTAAATTACAATTAAATTTCTGCATAAAAATTGGAAATTTAACCAAAATCCTATATCATGGCTATGTTATAAAACTTAGTTAAAAAAAGGTGTGCTTTCCTTTTCTTGCAGGGTAGTTCAAAAAGAATGAAACTCTTTTCAAGTTTGGTATAAAGTAACTATTCACAATAGGAAAGACACTAAGCCATCCATGGATATTAAAAATATCAGATTTTAAAGTACATTGGAAAAATTTTAACAATTTCTAGATATGAACGACTTTCAAAGAACATATGTACAGATGGTATCGTTAGGCTTAGATGCACTTAACTTTTAAATTTTTGTTAATTAAAAGCATAAAATCCTTAACCGATTAACAAAAGGCATAAAAAACTTAACCGGAACGTAAGAACAACATAATTCAATCACTTTTAAAGCAAAAAATGCACCGTTTACCATCATATAAGAATAAAAACCTGAACTCACCGAGCCGGGTAGCAGAGTGGCTATATATATGTAATATTTACGTGGGCAGTCGTGAATCTGTTACTTTAACTTCTGACTGTAGACATGGCTGAATGGAAAAGGCAGAAATAAGACTTTGACAAAAGTGAATTGAAGAATCATTATCTTTATTTTTACACATGTCAAATCACTATTTTTTAATAATCGTTGAATACAATCAATGTTTATGCAGACTGGTCTTACAAGTACAACGTAAGCAGGAAAAAGCATAAGCAGGGTGGAGATCTTTACAAGACAGAAGCCAGGAAAAAATTAACATTGTTCCTCGCGAAGCAGTATTTATACTGCGTAGGTACATATGTGAATCTAAGCAGTGATTGGTTAATTTAGTTTTAGTTGTCTTTTTCAAGCAGTGTTATGTAATTTGGAAAGATCTTGAATTTAAGAGAACAGGTGAATGTAGGAGAAGAGCATAAAATCAAGAATAGTTAATTTTGAGGTCGCCAAATTATTCTTAAAGCAGCCATCGTATTTTGTTATATCTTACACATATAGGTTTGATGCGACCGATTGCAAAGATAATGGGGGTTGCACAACTACATTCTGTAGAAGTCTCATGAACAAAATTTCAAAGCTCTACAGTTACTCATTTTTGAGTTAGCGACATACATACGTACTTACGTAGGTACAGACATCAGGAAAAAATATATCTTCTGAATTCATTTTAAATCCATTTTACAATCCGTTTTGAAACAAAGAGTCCTTCATTCTGTCCGTACGTACAGATGTTACTCATCAGCCTCCAAACGGATTTGGGAGCTGTGAAAACTAATATTTTCTTTGAAATATGATACACAAATATTTTTGCGATTTCAATATCTCCTTTACTTCGCAAAAGGAAGTAAAAAGGGTATAAAACATAATGTTATGCTGTCTTAGGGCCAAACTTTTATCACTTCACTTTTAAATGAGGAGTGATAATCATTCAGCTTTTAATTTCTCCACTTTTTACTTGGATATACCTATTAGAAAGGCTGAAGAAAAATTATCTGAAAATTACGGAAGAATTCACTTCCACATCTAACTGGAAGAAATTTCATATATAGTATCACGATAGACGAGTTTCAACATATGCTATTGCTCACTTTTTCAAGTAAAATGCAGCACTTACTCTAATTCCATGATATTAACAAAATAATGGCAGGAAACACTACAGTGGTAAGTAAAATCTTCTATTAAATCTTATTTCTTAACCTCCTGTGTTAAATCTTCTATTTAACACAGAAGTATTGGCTATGTAATAAGGAGTAAGTAGGCCAACAAGATAATTTTTTAAACTTATTACTTGAAACATTACAAGCCTCAGTCTAATCTACTACGCTGAGTTTTCTAACTTTGACGTATTATGTAGTCCTTTAGGTTTTTCATGATTACCGAATTATCTTTTTATGCTTATGCAATTCTGGAGATAGAAGTCAGATATTTGGAAAAATATCAGGCTTAGGGAAAAGGGCAAGAAATTTGGATAGCCTGCAAATAATACTTTGATTACTACTTTGATGATATTGATATTCTAGATTATCATATAAATAACCTACGGAATTTATTCAATATGTAAATCATTAAATTTCTACAAATTTTACAAAATATTTATGTATAAATTAGGCTTTTCTGCCTTTTTGAATACAATATTGTGATACTAGAAACGTCTTTTACAGAATCTTTCCAAAATTGTGTGACCCTTATGTTATATTAGCTTATTGGCAACACAAAACTTAAGATCCTTTTTTTATCTCCCACACTGCCTTGCAAATAGCCAATTCCCAAATCATTGCTATTTTACAAAGATCTTCAATTTATCTTTAAAACCAAATAAATTTTTAAGTGTTTTACAGACTGAATGATTTAAGAGCAATAAATGGTCTTAGTTATCTAAACGTTTATTTTATTTTTTACCATATATCTGATCAATATAGAGAGTCATTAGGTTATTTTGGAGCAGGCTATGTGAAAAATGTGCAGTGCCCTCGCTGGGACTCGAACCTGGACCTCTCGAATATGCGCCGAGTGTGTTACCGTTACACCACGAAGGTATGCTAAAAGGAGGGAGTAATGTAAAATGTATTTAATTTCTATCATACCCAATTTATTATATATCCTTCATGAACTTTTGCTTCATAATTGTAAAAAGGAAAACATATTTTCTGATACCATACATTAAAAATTGTGGTACAGATGTAGTGGGGTAAAGAATTCTTACTAGTATATATTTTATTCAGTGTAATATAAGTTTGTATCTATCTTTGTAAAAAGAACATAAATTTAGTTAAGATCATCAGAGTGACATTTAAATCGAAGTTCTAAGCTCTTAATAGAGTAATGCAATATTGTAAGCCTTATTGGCTGTTACTGTACAATTATTTAAATCTGAGATAGATTGCACTAAAAAGGAAAAAAGAAAGTTGAATTGTAATGCAGTCCTTTCTGACATGTGACTTCAAACAAGGAGCTCGGATTACCTTTTCGCTCGGATCATTCGTGTCAACTAGTGAAGCTATCTGTTGCGACGTAACGGAGCTGAGATCCTTGTGATAACCACAGCCCTTCCAACATCTCAAATCCGGACAAGAAAAGCAGAATCCGAGATGCGAAGAAGGGAGCAGGGCGAGGGGGTTAGGTGTGTGACGTCACAGGTTACGTCCACCAACTAGGTGCTTCCTCTGTTCACCAACCACACAGCGGATATGACAACTCAGCCCAATTGATGCTCAGATACAACTGGCTTTCACACACTCTTGCTGCTCAGACGATTTATCTAGTTGTGCATATATATATGTATATATATGAACGTTGAGTCGCATTTCGAATTGTTGTAGCATGTGAATTGCCATGCAAGCGTGAGAACGCGCAAATTGGAAAAGAACTGTTTTCGCGTTCAAAAGAAAAGAATTGTTTTTCTGAGTTTGTCAGGAGATAAAAATTTTCACTTGAAACATTAGCAGGAAAATAATTTTATGTAACGTATATTTTGGTGAACTGTTTTTTTTTTTTTTTATTTCTATAATAATAATTCGCAAAATATTTGCAAATATCCAGAAAATTCTTTTCTACTACTTTTTTTTTTTAATTTTTTTTTTTATAGTTTAATAAAAAGATAAAAAGAGAATGGAGAGGTGAAAGAGAACAGAAAATTTACTTACATAAGAAGTCGATGAAGAAAGACTTGTTGCAAACAATTTTAGAGTAGACTTTTCAGATTTAAGGAAAGTCAAACATTTATATTTACTTTTTTATCAGCGTAGTGTTAAATAGTATTCTGAAACGCAATAAGATAAAAAGAACTTTGATTGAAAATGAATTAGAAATTCAGAAAGGTAAGATGAAATTTCTAATTTTTAATTTTTAAAATTTATTTATTCTACTGAATATAGTTACTTCATATGATTTTTTTTCTTTCAAATTATATCTTATTTCATGTCTGATGCTATGATAAACATTTTTATTATTTTTATTCGATGTTGTGATTATTATGCTACCCATGAATATTAATTACGAATTAAATAAGTTCGTGTTAAATAAGTTTATGTAAAGCATATTTCCAATAATAATAACAATATTTCTCGTAATAACAATCTTTTGAAATCCTAATAATAACTTTTGTATGTGCTTAAAATATTAATGAAATTAAATAGTAAATATAATTTTGTTTACTCTTATAATAAATAGGTTTATAATTATAAATATATAATTATAATAAATAGGTTTTCAAGTTTTAAAAATAGGTATTTTTTAATGATCAACAAATGCATGTGTATAATAAATAAAAGGTATGTGGAATCTCTTCAGTGTTTCGAAATATGGCCGCAGAAACTTCGATGTTTTTACTTTTAATGAAATGAATGGTAGATACTTTAACCATAAAAAAATGAATTTGAGTGATTTGAATAAAACTGTTTGAATATTTATTTCCCTTTTTCTAGAATTATTTCTATTTCATAACGTATCATATTGTTGCATTATTCTGGTATTTAAAGTATTTTAATACTTTTCCTATGAAAATAAGCAATATTGATCATTGTTCTTCATTGTATACATTTAATACAGTTATAAATTGTAAAATGAAATGTTTTTATTCTATCCATCTGAACTTGAGCATGTAGTAATTAACTGCAAAGTCAGCGTTTTATAATAAATACATTTGTTTTTTAGGATTTTACAATTTGTTTATTTTTTAAAACAAGAATTTCTTTTCGACAAAAACTGGGCATTTCGTCTAGCTTTACTATTTTTTAAGAAAACAGTGGTAAGACAGGTAACTATCTTCGATCCAAAAACGTTGAGGGAGATCTCGCCAAAGTTGTGCTAATCGTTGTTCTCTTGGAATTCTGAAGGAATTGAAACGTCTTTATTTACTAAATCAATATTCAACCAACTCCCCTTTTTTTCTGCTTCCTAAAATTGCTTTTGTCGATTTTCCACTTTTTTATTAAGACCTTTTTTTTTCAGTCCACAGGGGCTTTCTCCCTGAATGACTATTGTTTTCGCTTTCCAATTTTGCGTTGAATCACTATGAATGTCCGTTTCACTTTTCAAACTGTTGCTACCAAATGTTAGAGTCCTGCAGTATATTTGAAGAAATTAAATAATGAAAAATCCGCATAAATGTATGTCTATTTCTCGCATTATGATAAAACAACAGTACATAGAGCGATCGAATTTTGAATGACGTAATCCTCCTACGAATATGGGCATGTGGAAGACCAAATTTGAAATTTGTTTTATTATCGATTTCATATTTTGTAAAACTTTAACAAATTTTTGAGTAACAAACTCAACGATTTAAAAGCGAGCAATGACAACACTCTACGGCACGGGAAAAATTTTTTTTATCTCCAGCGGGCGCGGAACGGTGTATCTGAAATTCTAAAGATATGCTCATTTTAAAATTATTTTGCGACGTTGCTACTGAACTGAATTTTATGGTTTAAGTGCAAAGAACATAATATTTAATAAATAAAGGTAACACACAAAACGTAAAAAAACGCCCGTTTGGACGTAATTTAAAACCTTTCAGATTTTATTTTGGGGGGGGGGAGGCTTGCCTTTTTTTTTTTTTTTTTTTTTCATTTTTTACGTATTTCACCGTTAGGCATTACAGAATAAGAGAGGAATGTTCCGTGGAGAGCCTTCTAAGGAAAACGGTGATATATCCATTTTACTCATGGCGAAAACCACGAAAACGCTCATGTAACCAGCCCTTTGCCGAGTCTAGAACCCCAGACCGAGGTACCAGTATTCACCGCCTTTTACCGCTCGGCCGCAGGTTGGGCAAATCCTCACCTTTTCCAAAACATCTGTGCAGAACGCAATGAGTACAAATAATTTTGGGTAGGTAATTATTAAAATCTATTATTCTTTTGTCGACGATATTCTGCTGATCTTATGGTCTTCAACATATTTTTTTCTTTTAATCCCATGACTGAAAATAATCCACTGGTTGCTGTTTGGCAGAAGGCAGGTCCCAAATCTTGAATATATTTTTTCCAAAATGCAAGAATAAATTTCAGCAGTAACAGTTAATTTATACCCTTGTTTATAAAGTGTTTATATCCTTGTTCTATAAGGTATCTTATAGAGAATCAATCAGAGAATCACTCAGGCCCACCAGCGGCCGAGCGGTAAAGTCGCTGAACACTGGTAGTTCGGTCCGAAGTTCAAATCCCGCGAACGGGCTGGCTGCATGGGTGTTTTCGTGGTTTTCCCCATGTATAACGTGTATACGAGCCAGTTTCCCTTAGAAAGTCCTCCCCGAAGGCATCCCTCCCCTTAGGCAGATTACCCTAGTGTGCTTTGCCGTAATTAAATACTTCACACCACTAGAGAATCACCCAGATGTGATGAGGGTCTTTTTAAGTTACGCTTATCCATAACTGGCGCTAAATTGTGTTGCTTGGCGACAGTTTCAGGTTCGACGGGATAATACGCAAGTACCGAAAAAGTCTGCAAAGAACCCCAGAACATTACAGAAAAATATTTTTCTATCAGAATATAATTTCGTTTAACAAAATGATTTACTATAAAGTTTACGGAAAATAAGATGGCATCGTATTTTTTACATAACAAAAAAACGAAAATTTCTGCTTCAAACTGATAAACAAATATATTTAATCTTTTGTCGTCCATAAAATACAGAGAAAAGAATGTATTAAATTTTGACCATTTATACATTTTTTATATGAAAGTAAAATTACACTTATATACATACATTGAAATCTTGAGTATTATTGTTTAAAAGCCCCACCACATATTCTTGAAATGGTTTGTTAAAACAGTGAGAGATCTAGAACTTGAATGACAGCAATTAGGTTAGGTTAGATTCATAGATAAGCCCCACCAGCGGCTGAGGAATTAAGACCGCTAAATGCTTTCAACTTGGCTTTGAGTCCAAGTGAACGGGCTGGCCTGCATATTTTTTTCTCGCGGATTTCCTCATGTACAACAAGAATGCAATCCAGTTTTCCTTAAAAAGTTCTCGATGAAGCCATCTCTTCTCTTAGGCAGATAGCTCAGGTCTCAGGCAAGATATGCTTATTTATAGTCAAAGAATCTAACCTAACTGCTGTCATTCAAGTTCTAGACTCTGACTATTTTAACAAACCATTTCAAGAAAATGTTTCTTTATTTTATGTGTAAAAAATTTTATTCCGAGCTAGAGATTATAACTATTAAATTTTTATGTTGTTGGCAACTATGAAAAGACAGTTCGGCTTAACGATGATGAATATTAAAAAGCTTTAAGACTATATTTTCTAACTATACATCCACAAAACATGACTACATTCTTTATTTTGAAGATAATGTATTGTGCTATACGAACAGATTCTTTCTTCAGTAAACTTTCGTGATATTCTACTATTCATGTACGCAAGAAGAAATTTCTGCTTTTCGGAATGACTTATTGTTGTGTATTATGCAACCTGGAAGAATTATTTTCCACAAACGAAATGGTAAATACATTTTATGAATAATCAGTGCTCGTGAAAATTCACCGCGCATATTCATTTTTATTTTATTACTTTTACATCAAAAATGCATTGTAAATATTTATGTATTTGTATGAAAAATCGTGTACGTGGCTGGGGTACCTTGATTTCTCTTACACATTTGTGTTACAAAAGGTATGCAATAAAGCTACTTATTATGATTCAGTGTTTTCATACGATTTCAATAGGTACTATGTGTCACAGAATTGGTAATATGAAATTTCAATATTGGAATTTGATGTAACTGAGGTTTTCTTTTTCAGAAAATTCATGAATTCATAGAGGAAAATGAAAAAGTCTCTTAAACCTTTATAACATCAACGTTTCACAATTATTTTTATTGTTACTTTTGCACTGGTACTTTTTGCTTCCTTGCACGAAGTAAAGGAAGTATTATTATCGCGAAAAATTTGGGGTATCATATTTCAACGAAAATATATATTTCAACTGGTCTCGAAACCATTCGAACAATATTTTTGCGTGACATCTGTACATATGAACAAAATAACTTGACGGTTTGTGTCAAAAAGAACTGTAAAATTTATTTAGAGGAGATTGTTTTTTATGTCTGCAGGTACGTTGAAAACGTCAGAAAGTTGGGATTTGGTATATGGGGACAGCTATAACATGTATTTGTGCTCCTCACTTTTTCGTTGCTATCGACTGCACCTATCGTACACACACACACATATATATATAAGGT